TTCAACCGGTGGAAGTTCAGTTACATTTTCTTTACGTATAAACATGCACTTGTTTAACTGTTTAACAGTATTTGAGGTCTAAAGTACTGCATAACATTAAGTGTTCTAAATCTTAACAGTAAGAAGAATGAAGAAGGTTTATGGCTTAAATACAGAGGCTGTGTTGATAACAGGACAATATATTTTTAAATTTTATTGGACATTGATTCTACCAAATAACAAACCGAGACAAAGATCACCACTTTGCATAAAAAAAAAAAAAAAAAATAAAATATATATATATATATATATATATATATATATATATATATATATGTATATATACACATAAATAATTTGTTACCTTTATTTAACAAGAACAGAGTCCTGATCCTGGAGGAATTTTCATGTTTTTTATAGTACCCATGTGTAACCTATGAACATAGGGAGAACATGCAAACTCCACAAAATCAAATAGAGCCAAGGACCTTCTTGCTGTGAGACATAAGCTCTAAACACTTCACCACTGTGCACTACCTTAAATCTTTCAATACAGACACAAATACTAGAGCGCATGTGTTTAGTTTGGCTTCCGTTCAAAATTTCTAATGTAATGTAGTGTGACAGCTAATATTGTAGAAGCCCTGACATCTTCTACAGATAACAAGTTGATTTCACTGTCTGGGTTCAGTGCATTTGTGTGTTTTGGAGGAAACACAGAAGCCCCCCTCTTTTGGCCATGCTGAATTTAATCAACCAATGAGATCAATGAGGTGAATTAGAACTGAAGCTGACTCAGCCACAAAGCACTCTTTATGGTGTTTTAGCTCATATCACTTGCTCCAGACTGTCCTAAACCCCCAGCCGTCTGCTCTGCCCCTCTCCCCTTCGTCCCACAGTTTATAAGGAGCATATCACCTCATAGAGCCGCTTTCTTTCAAAGAGCTCCCGTTCAGGTTGCGAGGCCCCCCATTTCCTCCACGCTCTCAGGAGGGAAGTGTAAGTGTGCAGTGGTGGAAATGCTGCAGAGCTGAGGGGAAGTGGATGAACGAAGAAAGCAATGTTATTTGTGGAACAGTGGGGCCCGCTAGCTTAAAATAAACGTATTCAAAATGACTTACTGGAAACGGCTGTGTGCTCTGCTTCTGATTAATGCCTCATTTTTCTATAGGCACAGGCAGAGAGTGTATGAGAGAGAGGGCAAGACTGAAAAACTAACTTTTGTTTGATCCAAGGTCATTGAATGGCCAGCTGCTGGACCCTTCTATCTGCCCCAGGGATCTTGTCTTCCTATTGGACATCCTGTCTCTGATGAATTGTCACTCTTCTCATCACACAGAGGAAGCATGGCGCTGCCAGGACACACCCACGCATGTCCTCTCCAGCCAATCAGCAAGCAGCAGTTGTCCAGCATCCCCTGCACTTCGAAAACCGCAGCTGCCACAGGAGCTGCTTTTGTGTCCTTTCCTTCCCTAATCTCTGACCACACACACTTGTGACACACTGCCCATCTCTCTCGCTGCTCCGCCCCAAGACATCTGTGTGTTGTGAAGCAAATGAGCAGGAAAGCTGAGGGAACTTTGGAGCCAACTGCCAGAATAGTTTGATGGGGCCCCCAGTGCAGAGTTATGTAACACATCAAAATCTGTATATCGAGAACATCAGTCTCCCTGCAGTCACATGCCACACTCCCAAAGCATGAACATGGTCTTTTCTATCTCTGCACGAGCCTGTGTACAGTCTGGTATGCACACATGCAAAGCTCATCTTATCCAGATACACTGATGCCTCCTATATAAAGTTTGCTAAAAAGGAAAGGATGTGACCTCACCCTACTAAAATCCAGCCTATATGCTCATGACTAAATCCAGGCTTACATTTTTTGTGAAGCGTGTCCTCATCGCCTCACAACATATAAACACACTGTGGTTTTTAACAGCACCCTAAACACATAAATGGCCTATTAGTGCATCTATGAAGCACTGTTAAATATATGGAGCCCCAAAATGCTAATTCAGTAAATATTTCAAATTCTTTAAGAGATGATTGCATCAGCACACCCCGCAACAATGCAAAACCAATTCATTTTCTGGCACCCAGTAAAACCCCCTTTTGTTTAAAGTGGACCCTCTTCCTCTCCCTTATTACTCCAGAGCACATGTTGGAGAATAGACCAATGTTCTCAGAGGCTCTGCAGGAATGAGGGATGCAAGCTGCCGGACGTCAGACATACACAGTCCTGTTCGGGCAGGGGGAGAACCAGGGACAAAGTCCAAAAAGAAGAAACCCTCTTGTGTTCAAGGTCCAGACCGAAGGCCAGGCCCGGATGTGACTATCTGTCCCATCATTGTTTCTTCAAATGTTGGCATTGTAGTTTGAATACTGCTTTTCAGTTTAGCCAAAACATTCTTGCATGGGACATATTTTGGGAAACACCCTCCCATTCCTTTGTTGATTCAGTAATTCTCAGTTTTATCTGCTAATTAGTTTTATTCATGTAATGTCACATAATTCAGTTCTCTTTGGTTTTATAGGTTGGCAAAAATAATGTTTGTATTGATTTTATGAAGATTTTATCTTACCAATCATACTTTATTTTCCTTTCCTTTCCTTCTAACTTTCATTACAAGTATTATGTTGCTTAAAAACTGCAGGATTCCCTCCCCACAGACCTGACCTGTAGTGCTCTATAGGCATCCCCTACTTGTCTCCATGGAAATAGAAATGCCATACAGTGAAACATTCCAGACACAGCAATAACACCTCTACAGAGACAAGCAAGAAAATGTTCATATATTCACGCCTCTTATGGTTTAACTGTACAGAATAACCAACCAATGTGAATTAAATAAATGAATAAATTGAAAGCTCTGGCTGAAGCCTTGAGAGTTTTCTCCTTGTATATTTCAGACAGACTGCTACTGCTCTCAAACTTTCCAACACCAGATTCAAGAGCATGAACAGAGCCTTTAACTTTAAGAGACATTTACAAATGCAGAAATTATAATTTGGTGGGTGCACAAACCACAAATCTGGGTGTAGAGCTGCTCATAACAGTTATTCCCTAAGGCAGAGCTGCAAGTATTTGTCCTGATTCTGGAAAGCACCTTGTTTTCTTTTGTGGACTGCAGTGGCTGTGGTAAGTGGTACTGACCGCCTGCTTTGATGTGACACACACTGATAGAGACCTGCTGATACAAAGACCCAGAATAGCATGTAAACATGGTTGTGATTATACATGTATAGCTCATTTTGTGTTTAGCAGATGCTCCATAATATCCATTACTATATGACTGAAGAAGCCCCATTTTCTCTCAGTACTGGGAGCGGCTATCACCACTGTTCACACCACAGCATTCCTGCCATAGCAGCCTCCTCTACCATGTCAATAAATTAGGATATTATGAAAAGTAACATTCCTACTAGTTTCAAATTAAAATCTGTTCTGTTAAAAAACAAACATTGTTGTTATTTTTCAAATTTGTTTTATTATTATTATTTTTTTGCCCCATGGGCTTTATTTGATAAACGGGGTGAAGATTGAGGAGAGACATTCACAGAATAGTCATAGCTGCTAATCAAACTGCCTTCCATGTGCTGCAGCATAAATTCTGAGACTGTGGTACCACTCAATGCAATTGACTTTTATTACTAAAATACTATATAATCTGCAACAGTGGTTCTCAAACCTTTCATGCAATTATCACATAAGAACATATTTTTCTTTTTGAGTACCACCAGATCTAAACCAGACACATAATAAAGACTGTTCCATGCTTAAATTAAAGACAAAACTCTAAAAACGACCACACTATTGCTACTATAACTCTCTAAACAAGAACTACTCCAAAGTCAAAAAATGAAAACACCTGACTCTAAATTAAGAAAATATTAGCACAGATAACCTTGTGTACCAAGAAGCTCAGAATCACCAATATACATAATTTGTACTATGAACCTGAATAAAACATGTTTGGAACCTCCACGTACCTGTATTTTTTAAGGTTCACTTTTGTTCACTGTATTATATGACCTATTTACTCATTGCTATAGTTCACCTTCCTCTGTCTTTGTCAGTCTCTTTATCAGTGGCAGCCTGCCCATCTGTGGCCCCTGTGCACTGGTGGGTTCAGTGGACTGGTATGCAGCAGGAATCTTTGGATCAAGGTGATTTCACGCTCCTCCACGTTTTCCCAGGGCTCTAAGGGCTCTCTGTTACCTCTGTGCAGGCCACGTTGTGTGATAGCGCCTGACATGTGTTATCATAGGGCACATGCACAAACAACACCTCTGCTTCCCTCAAGTATGCACCCAATGAGACCACTGGCTGCCTTTGTTCTGGTGACATGAAAATGTAATTTGAGACAAAATGCCTCTTACTTGATATTCACTTCACCCAATCACCTTATAGCAACTTCTGACTCTTTTTTTCTCAATGGGACTCATATCTCATTCAAGTTTTTTGGCTGTGAATGAGCAGTTTGCGAAACACTGCTGCAGCATAGGGGAAGTTAAAAACTTCCTCAATTGAAAATGAAAAGGAAATCAAATGTATTAACTTTAAACTCTTCTTAAAGGCTCCAATGCCTTTTACATTAAACTGATCCATTAGTGATTGAACAAAGAAACATCAGACATCTTCATCAACATCTTCATATTTTGCCCCTTACTCATGCCATCATCATGCCATTCCATTATGGAAATGGGTCCCTGGAAAGAGATCTCCATAGCTTCCACACCCACTTCCAGAATCCTTTGTGTGGAATGTTGGAGCAATAAAAACATACTGTGAAAAGAGCTGTTACCTTTAAGGCCTATTTATCACACATTTTAGATGTCTTTGGAGATGTGACAGTTTGTCCATGTCAGTCCTTGCAGCTGCACCCTTCAGAGCACCTTTCCTAAGGCCCAAAGTTCAGAAGTGCAGTTAGTCGTTCCAGTAAAATTGGGAGTTTTCAGTGGTGCCGGCAGTCACATTGGTCAGTGAGGGTTTTGTCTCTGTAGGCAGATGGCTATAGGGCACTAAAGGAATTGCGATCCTACTTAATGACAGTAGGACCATAGTTTCTGTTTCTAAAGTTCTGGACGAACGTTCCGGAAGTAATTTAGTTACGGGTGGTTTTATTTTGTAAGCGTGGAGCGGAAGTGTGTGATGAGCGCTGCGTGCGGCGGAACCTGAGCCAGGCTGAGCCACTGAGCTAAGGCACAGGCTCAGTGAGAGCCAGCACCGCTGGGTTATACCATACAAGACGACAGAACCAGCCTCATGCTGTGCCCTGGGCACATCTCCTGCCCTCCGGTGCTGTCGACAGCATTGTGACATATTTATTTTTGTATTATTATTTGGGCTTTATCCTAAAGGGGAAGAGCAGCGGTGTCATGGAGTTGTACTGCCTCGAGTCGGAGACACTCTTGAAAGCACAGCCTGACCCAAACATCCTCAGTGATGACAGAGTGTTTCAAAGTTTATTAACTATCGAGGAAGGGTTTTTACACCAAAGTTCATATTTCCAGCGAGTCCAGACGGATATCAAGCCTTTTATGAGACGAACGGTTGCGGGCTGGATGCACGAGGTTTGTGGACATTTTTCATTCATGCTAACTTAAGTCTTTCTTTGCTAATTGGACTTCAGGACCGAATTGCAAGTTAACACACGCTGTAAATGTCGTAAATGAAACGTTTTGTTTGTAGACATTTGTCATGCATGTGAATCTTTTTAGAAATTGAATGAGAATGACTCACCAAAGGCGTGGGAGCTTAGGAAATTCCATCGAGAAAACGCAGCTTTACAGAAATCTCTGTGTTGCGGAATAAATACGTTGTTTAATGGCTTCAGCGCCCTGGTTTTTACAAATAACCTATAGCACTGGACACAGAGGGTCATGATCTTAATTTACATGGTCAACATGTTCAATAATTGTATTTACACTAATTATTATTAATTTTTCAAGTTCCTGTAGCCTAACCCCAGAGATCCAGATGGATCAAGCAACGTGCACCGAGACATTCACTTTTCATTGCAATTTAAGTTGCTTATAACTGCACATTTTAAAGGCTAAAATAATGTAATTTTATAACCTATCATTTAACACATTTAAAGTATTATAGGCTACATGTAGACTATTAGATCTGTTTTTTAAAGGATTCTTGCCTAATCTTATAGTTAGGCTTTAAAAAAATATTTTAGAGAGTAGATTGGTTTCACTTTATGCCTGAATATAAGAGCAACAGTTTAAACAGAGGCAACTTTGACTAGAATACATTGTAGTGACAATGCTCAATTTTTCACTTGATTATTTTCCCTTTTCAGGTATGTGAAGAGGAGAAGAGCAATGAAGATGTATTTCCCTTAGCTATTAATTATTTGGATAGATTTTTAGCTGTTATGCCAACCAGGAAAAGCTATTTGCAGCTTTTAGGGGCCGTCTGCATGTTTCTGGCCTCCAAGATAAAGGACACCAGGCCTCTCTCTGCAGAAAAGCTATGCATGTACACAGACAACTCCATCACACCACAGGAGTTGTTGGTAAGTTTCAGAAGCCTCATTCATATTTCTATGACCCACTGCAATGTCACATTTTCAGCATATTTGATAATGCCCAGTTAATCAAACATCTTAAGTTTTCTTTGTAAAGGAGCAAGTCCATGTGGACAGGAGCGAGTGGGGACCTCTAGTGCCTGTAATGCAACATTATACCACATTACATGTCATTCATAATGCACCATTTCACTTCATGGTGTTATTTAAGATTTTTATTTTCTATACAATCAAATATATATATATATATATATATATATATATATATATATATATATATATATATATATATATATATATATATATATATATATTTTATATTTTTTTTTTTTACTTTTTTTCAGTTCTAAAAGACAGTGCTAGGATATTAATGTGCAATATAATTGAGCATATGTATAGAGGTTAAGCAAATGATTTCAAATTTGTGAAAGCTTTTGAACATCTTGGTTGTGCAGTAAAAACTTGTACAGACCTAACTGTTTGGTTGTGGTGTAAACTCATTGAAGCTGTCTGAGGCTTGTGACAGGAAGGAAGGGGCATGCTGTCTCATTGGCAGGCCCTCTAAGCAGGGCAAAGCTTGTCACATGCTGACAAAAAGAACACAAAGGATGCAAGGAATGAGAAAGGCACTCAGATAATAAGATACAGCAAAGAGAGATAAAGAGAAGAAATGTTTCTCCTCTTACACAGCCATTTCCGCTGGGAATAGGGGCAGCCTATGATCTTTTTCAGACTCACTGGAAGTGTGGCATCATGCCATTTAACCCTCTGACTATGTGCTTTTTGAAAATCAAACTGACTGACCTCTGTGTGTAATGTGTGTGCAGGACTGGGAGCTGGTGGTGTTGGGAAAGTTGAAGTGGAACATGGCCTCAGTCATTCCAAATGATTTCATAGAGCACCTCTTACACAGACTGACCCTCCCCAAAGACAAGGTGGCTCTGGTCCGCAAACACACGCTCACGTTCATCGCCCTCTGTGCCACAGGTAAGGCTTTCTGTTTTTGTTTTTTTTTAAAGTTCATAATCACTTATTTTCAAGTTAATTTTGGTTTAAAAGACCCCCTGGGGTATGCTCACACAGCAGACCATGCCTGTAAAGCTCCTTTACCTCTTTTCTCTATTCAACTGTATGAAGCACCATCTGCATATCTTCAATGGCTTAGCTTGTCATTTTCTCTGTGTCCTCTGGGCTGTAAGGGACACATACTGAAAAAGGCAGGATGAAGTACTTATGGCCAGGTGCATTTTAACTATTCTGTTGATAGGGAAGCTTCCAGGTAGAAAGAAACGTAAACGATCTTCCTGCCTCCTCCCATTCTGGCTTTAGGTCCAAAATAAATCTTGGCAACGGTGGAGAAGGATTAACTTAGATGTTTCCTCAGGCTTTCTCTGAGTGCATTTTATAGAGCTCTTTTGCCAGTTTTAGGAATTCCAGCAATGTTTTCATATCCTGGAAGGTTCTACTGGTGATTCAACTACTTGTCTTAAATATCTTTGAATCTCTTACTACCTTGTATAAAAGGATAAAAGATACAAATGGTGGTCACCTAAGTTGAAATTCCCTGTTGTGGCCAAATGATTATACCAAATGAAAATGTGAGAATCGTTTGGCTGCAAGATGCATACTCTGTTTAGAGCTACTTTTTCAGATATATTTGTGTTCCAGTGGGTGCCTGTGCTATTCATAAGCAGCTGGTTATATCCAAGCACAAAGCAGCCACAGTGGAAAAAGAAGCTGCTGTGGTTATGTAGAAATGTAAATGTTTGAAGTTTTATATGGAGTGGAGATTTTGTTCTTCTGATGGAGTCGCCCCTCTTATGGACAGCTGGGCCAAAGGGGGGCAAGTCCGGGGTTCAGCTGGGGGTTTCAGTGTGAACGCTGGTTTGAACTTGGACTCATTCGCTACATTTACATGCACAGATTACTCAGAGTGCAAAGGTTCTCTACACTGTCCTGTCTGCACTGGACCTCATTTTATTCTTTCTGAGAGGGCACAGATGAACACAAGTTACTCATTTGGATGATGTAGACCTATGGTGCATTTGAGAGGAGGAGATTCGTGTTGTTCTTCGTCTTCTGCTTTTTCAGGCTGTGTGTTGACACTTTAAGTTTTAAACGTGGATGTGGACTTAAGGGAGTCTTTGCCGGAACCCATTGCTCAGCGAGTAGGAGGATTCTTGCTCTGCTTTTCTAATCAAAGTGCTGCCTCTGTGAGGGGAAACCACCGATCCATTTGTGCATCTGTCTTTTGAAATGTACACTGTGGGAAAGTCTCTTTCTGCTCCATAACATGTTTCTTTATTTTGATTGCATGACTCTCAACTTGGAGTTGTAATGTAAATTCTACTTTTGCTTTGTATGCTTAGCTCCGCCTTATTGAAACTTGATAACTTTAGAATATAAAGTATATATTCATTGATTTTTGGTACTCACTCGTTGCTATTTAGATGACTGCCTTGCAATGAACCCTCCTTCGATGATTGCCACCGGCAGCATGGGGGCGGCAGTCTGTGGCCTGCAGCTGGACTACAATGACTCCAGGCTGAGTCGAGACAACCTGACCAACCTGTTAGCCAAGATCACCAACACTGAGGTGGTAAGTAATTCCTTGAGATAATCACCAGGTACATAATTATAGAGACCAGTAATTATCATGAAAAACTGCTAATTTTGGAGAACTTGATACATTTATTTTGATGGGGACTCTGGATTGATGAGCCATAGTTCATAGAAAGAACTGTGGCAGAGTAAGCATCTATGAGCACACCTTCTTGTGGCACTACACATGCAACATTTCTCAACATGGCTCCAACTTTGTAGTCCAATCTCCTTTTTTGCCCTAATAAATCAACTATTTAGGTTAAAACACATTTTTGCTTTCAGTTAGTAATTCATCTTGGAGAAAAGATTTTACTGACAACCCAACCAAGTATTCTGACAACATTAAACTTGAATTGGACTAATAATAATCTTGCATTAGCATACATTTTGAAGTGTTTCTGAAAATCACATCACCATCTCCTGTGCTACCTTCTCTGTTTATTATTACAATTATGTGATCATAGCTTTAAAATGCCCAGATTGAAATCAAGGCTTCAAGATGCATACTGTGTTTAGATCCATTTCCACCTGAGCTTTTCACCAATATCTATATGTATGACTGGCGCACAGACTTTGAAATGGTTCTGAAAACCATATTACTATCTCTAACCGTATGGTTGCATTTCCATGGCAACAGGGTTCCCGCAACGCAGCCGTCACAACAGGCACTCCCACTGCAGCCCATCAGGTTCCAATTATCCGTGCATTTCAAAGGAATGCTGGCCTCTTTGCGAGCCTTGTGCATTCTTTTAGGGACCTGCTTAGTGAGGTAGACCTCCCACATCTCCCCTGGACCTGCAGGGATGAGAGGACTTTGGACAGACACAGACAAAAGACACTGGGGTTTCAAAATAGCTTCAAGGGGAAGCTGTCCAAAAACATCCGCTGCTCTTTTCCTATATTCAGTTTTACACCAAACTCGGGGGGTTCAGGGAGCAGTAGGTCAAAGCCATTTCCTCCAGGCCTCCACATTAGACTGACCGTGTTGTAAACTCAGAAGGGGAGGAGAAAGAGAGGCTTCCTCCTCTACACCTCTCTTTTGTCCCTTCACTTCCCCCCATGTGCCACATTCTGCAGACACACTGGTCTTGTGTCCTAGAGAACTTCAATACCTACCAGACCTCTTGTGTTTTAGTTTGTGTGTGCTGGTACTATTGTTCTGGGGCAGACAGGACCACCTACCATTGGGCTCATAATTCCCTCTTGGTATGCCATGCATGTGATCATTGCTGTTAAACAAAGTGCTTACCAAGAAGTGCCAAAAATACAAAAAAAACAACAAATGTGCGTGTGGCTCTTTCAATTTAAATGCTTTTTTAACACTGTGTGTATTAGAAGTGTGTAAGTGTAACAGTGCTCACCCTATTGTTTCAGGACTGTTTGAGAGCGTGCCAAGAGCAGATAGAGCGTGTTCTGGCCAGCAGCCTGCAGCAGGAGCAGCACCAGCGCCAGGACTCTGGGGTCAGGGCAGGAAACAAGGCGAGAGAACAGCAAGACCAGGCCAGCACCCCAACAGACGTACGAGATGTCAATTTATGAACTCATCGGCACCAGGGCAGTTTCGTCATCCAAAAGGCATGTCCAGGAGCATCTTTGTTGCTTTATAAACAGTGGTGTGACAATCTATGAACTCTTAGAATTTATGTATTCCTAGATTTCTCATTTTACCCCTTTCACAAGCAGATGGTTTTATTTTGACCTATTGTATGGGGCATACTGTATGTATTCCATCAAGCTATTTAAATGATAATTTCTTGAAAACTTGATAGTCCTTTAGGTTAGAGTGGTAACCTAAACATATTTTCATACTTGAATAGATGCCATAGTAGTGATATGAAACATAATCATAAATATACATATATGATGTATATGATATATATCTAGGCTTATATATAAATACAAATCTGATTAAAGATATAGGTATTTAGGTAGGTGTTTAGTTTTCTTCCAAGTATCAATTTACTGTCTTCCTCTACGATTCATATACGAGTATAGTATAGAAAAGTACATGAATGATAATGCTGAAAAGTAGAGCTGATGGCATTTATAGCAAGCTGATTAGCCACCAGGGGGCACTGCTGTTGCTGACTCAAGGAGCGCATGCACCTCTATCACAGCTAATGTATGCTTGTGTGCTGGCAGAGTGGGCTGGGCCTGCTCAAAGAAGGCACCACAATAGGATTGAGAGTTTTTTAATTGGGGATTTCCCCCTAAATATCTGAGAAAAGGTCAGTTGTTTAAGCAGTTGGATTTGCTCAGATAAAATGCATTTGCACCAATAAGGTGACTGCTCATACGGTCAATGTATTATTTCTTTCTGTGTGTCAGAAAGTGACAGCAATGGAGATGGACAATAGGCCTCAGAGAGTGTACGAAAAGAACAAAAGATCCAGCATGTTTTATTGGGATGCTAACAGTTTAATGTAGGATGTGGGACTTTAGGGTGTGTTGAAAAGGAAAGTAAGTGTATATCGAAAGAAAACTGGCAATTAGAATTGAATAGTCGAATGGAGGAAAATAAACTTAAGCTATGTTTGTGCAAATGCCAGTTACTTGAGTAACAAACTGGAGATGAAAAAATCTAACATCTATCCAGTAGGGGGAGACTGTCAGTGCCAGGGAGCACTTGGGTATGTGACCATTTCTCCTGTACCGATGAATTGAGTTACTTGGAGTTTTGAAATCGAGGCGCATGGCTTGTAATGATGTTGATGCACTTTGTAAACACTTTAAATTTAACGGGATAGTTAGTGGCAAGTTAGTGGGCTATTGGGGCCATTTTTCTCTTTTAAGTTATTTGATCTTTCTGGGCTGGATTCCCATGGGGTGTTTGGTAATCTTGAGCCGCACCCCAACAGGTTGGTTAGGCATTGGATCTTCCATATTATAGTTGTGTTAAATGACACCATAATCATTTGCAATGCAAACTAAGGAAAGCCGAGTCACACTTGGATTCAGTGCTTCCTGTTTAATCTTACTTGAATTTTATGAATTCATAGCCAAACCTTCCAATAGTTCTTCCAAAGAGTTTGTGTTGAGTTGTGTTCTTGTTATGTTTTTTTTTTGTTTTTTGTTTTTTGTAAAAGGCTCACAAAATGGAGCTGCCATCATATAAACTCAAGATATGATTAGAGGTTATATGATGTGAACGTGTAAATAACCAATTTCCCACGAGGAAAAATCTTAGTCATTACATTTTAGACAAAACATCTAAATAGTACTCATGGTTATACATGGTTTGTTGTGTTGAGAGCCAAAAGGTTTTCATGAAAGAACTTAAAAATGGCAATTGTTTATGCTTTTAAAGCTATTGTGTATAAAATCCAAAGACAGAAAAAATATCACTCAAAATTTTCCTTGCTGCTATAAAGCCTTTCTTATCTAGTCTTACAACTATGTCTGCATTATTGTGATTTATGTGTGTGCTGCTATATTAAGAAATGTACCTTTTACCAGTCTTCTTAGCTTTTACCTATGTATGTGTACTGGAGGGACCACCATGACAGCTCCGTGTGGGACTGGAAGCTCTTTGTGTATGCCAATCATTTGATTTGCATGTTTTTGTATCTTATCCTTGATACTACATTCTTGCTGCTTTTTGTACCTATTCTTGTGTACCTCAGGTTAATTGGACGAATAAAGCAAGAGCCACTCTTGCATTACCTCATACACACTTCATACACATTTGACGGGTTTTTAAAAAATTACAGTGCCTATATTTAAAATGGGTGAATTTCAACTATCTGGTGCTAAATCAGAAATGTGGATGACATGACATGGCCTATTATTTCTACTTTAAGAATTTAACATGTAAAATCAGTTCTGTTGTGTTGTTCTTCAAAGTATCTTGATCCGCTAACCTGTTCACTTTGTGGCTGCACAATTCTGATGTCTCCTGACACACAACAGCCATGCAGTGTTCCTCAATTTCTCTTCAATAAATTGGCTAAAACTATGTCTGTGGTCTCTTTGGTTGAGCCGATATTGCCTCATTGTATAGACTATCTTTGGGTAAACTATGTAGCCTAAGCCTTTATAGTCAGGCATTTGAGGAATTGGTTCTATTTAGGCTACTGTAAATGTTCTGAAATCTCAACATTTTCCTTCATTGTGACCTCAGTTTAATGTTGGACAGTTTAAACAAATGTCAACATTATGACCATTCCAATCAGTCTTTCTGCTGCATTTCAGGGTGACTGTTCATATTTGTGGTCACTCCAATAAGATTGTCACAATATAGAATTGTCTATGTTTAATGTTTTTTGTAACATCAAGACCAAACAACTGTGAAATTCTTAATCCTTTCCTTTATTCTCTGTGGTACACAACATTATTATTGCTCTAGTATGTGATCAGCTTTATGAAATCAAATGTTCTGCATATTTAAAGTTAATGTGATATAAAGAGAAATGTTGGGTTGACAATGTCTTAATTGTCCCTACCATTCATTATTTAGATTTGATTATCTATTAAATTGCATTTGACAGATAAATATTTTTTGGAATTATTACTTGGTTTGGTTATATAGTATCAGGGAAATATTCATATTTTTACATCAGCCAAGTAAGTTTGTGAAGAAAATTTACAAAAAGTTGGAAAATACAGGAAGTAGTGCTGCGTTCTAAAACAGAACCCCTCTATGTGTGAAATCTACTGTCATCAGTTAAATCCAAAATACAGGGACAATTTACACACAAAGAACAAATTTTCTCTGACAGTTGGTTTAATAAAACTAATAAATATGAAGTAAGTGTGTTGTAATAAATTTTTATTTGTCAAACCAGAACTATTGTATAATTTAGGCATGACCCTGGTTACCATACCTGCTAAATAACATACCTACCTATGACACAGTCTGTCACATATGTCTATGATCATATCTTCTGTCCATGTCCAGTCTGGAAGTAAAATGATAAATTTCACCAAAATTACAAAATTAGAAAAGCCCAGGCAAAATGTTTAGTCATTCCTTAAATATAATGATGTTAACTATGTTTTAGAGAATTAGTGGTCTAACCTGTCATATGCACCTTAAAATAAAACTCTTGACTTCACACCACAGACCGTATCTTTTATACACTCTACGCTTCGCACTGAGGTAGACTTTGCGTGATGACGTTGTAAGAGCGTCTCAGTAACAACCCGGAAGTAGCGTGGTGATCGCTGACTGCAGGATGTTCACATTCAGCTTGACATTCATACGGCAGTAAGTAAATTAAAACACAAACAATCGATTTAGTGTTGATCTTTTCATCGTGTTAATAATTTGTGAACGTTATTCTAAATGTCTCACTACTATGTCCTGCTGTGCTCTGTACGCAGTGGAGAAACGCAGTACAACAGAGACAAACTTCTTCAAGGTACTGCAGCCAACCAATAATAACACGTATATAAACTATAGCTACGATATTAATATGTAGCGACCGACAAAGGATATTTCCGTGTTTGTATGTGTTACCAGTGCTTGTGGTGTTTTAGGTCAAGGCGTGGACACTCCATTATCAGTGACAGGTGAACAGCAGGGACAGGCTGTGGGGCAGTACCTTCAGGACATCCCGTTCAGCAACGTGTTTGTGAGCAATCTGCAACGCGCTGTGCAGGTAAAGACTCACCTCAACCCACTATTAGCAGTTAACATAAGCTAACGCTGGGTGTTTTTTTTTTCTGTCTAATTTCCAGACTGCTGAACTCATTCTAAGGAACAATACTCACTGTTCTGACACCAGGATGATTTTGGAGCCTTTACTCAGAGAAAAGGTGGAGTTTTAAATGTATCAACAGGTTTTCAGGACTACCATTTCTGTTACTTACTTTGTGTGTGCCTCATGCAGAGTTTTGGCATTGCTGAGGGACGTCCCAAAGAGAGCCTAAAGAACATGGCTAATGCTGCTGGACAGTCGTGTCGTGACTACACTCCTCCTGGAGGGGAGACCTTAGACCAGGTACTTTTTGTACTATTTGTTATAATTCAAGCAGAATACAGGTCATGATTTACTGAAGCTGCCAGAGTTAAAGTTTGTACAATAGTTCCCCCTTGTGACCACAGAAAAACTTAGCACCTGTAGAAAATTCATAATAACGCCTTCAAAAATAAAACATCCTCGTCTGTTATTTATTTACTTATTTGTGTTGCTCGAGCATGAATTGTGCTTTATAAATAAATTTGCCTTGTCTATTTATTTGTCAGAGACAGTACAGTCAAACAGTGTTGCAAATGTCAGGCATCCACACAAGGCTTCTTTGCTTTAAAGGTTTAAAAGAAACAGATACAGATACAGCCATCAGACATTAAATCAGATATTACAAACCCTCATTCAAAGTCAGCCATGCCCTTACACATACTATTTATTAATTGATAGAGCATCATTGGCTTCATTTGACCCAAGTCGTAAGCCTGGTGGTGAGCATTTTATCTCAGATAAGGTCTTAGTTAACAGTTGGTAGTGTCTCAGTACATTTACAGGTAAAGGCGAAGTGTTCTGCACTGAGGGATATTTTTTGGCAAGTTTTCAACCCTAGCAATTTAAAAGGCTAAAAAAAACCTACAAACTGTGAGGTTAGAGAATCTGAGACACTGTATAAAAATATGATAATAATTATTTGTCTTATACAGTACATTTTCAGATGTGCTACTGTGTCATGCTTCATTCATTCACGCTCAACAGAATTTATTGTGAACTGTGAAATATTGTTATTTTTGTTAAGTCCATGAATGGAGTTTAAGGAGTTCTTTAACTTAACATGTTTTGGCTACTAACTACCAGCCTTCCTCAGCAGTATAACCTCCTGTGACGTGCACTTTTATTAGTGACACCTCCTAGGAAGGTTTCAGTTAACAGCCACAACATGTCAATAATCTAAAGAACAAAACTTGTTTAGTAAATTATACCTATAGGTAATATATATTTTACAATGGTTATTTTATACTATTACTGTTTTCTTAACAGGTGAAAACACGTTTCAAAATATTCCTTTCATTCCTTTTCAATCAACTTTTGGAGTCTCATGACTGGTCAGTACAGGACGCTGCTGCAACATTGAACGATGGAGATGCCCCAGACAGCCCCCACTGTGGGTTTGCCAGTGATGGGCTCGAAGGAGTTCCTGTCCATGTTTTAGTGGTGAGCCATGGAGCGTATATACGTATAGCCATTAAACACATGGTGGAGGACCTGAAGTGCTCTCTGCCCAAAGGGGTAAAGATGTCCCAAATCTTCTCACCATGTCCAAACACAGGAATAAGCCGCTTCATCCTCACCCTGCAGCGCTCTGACTCTGGGCCTGTGCTCTCTGCTGCTCGGTGCGTTTTTGTCAACAGACAGGACCACCTGCTAAACCTTGAAGCTGTCGAGTAAAACAGTGTACATCACATGTGTACATAGACACACATCCTCAAACAAAGGGAATTGTGAATCACTGTAGAATTATATGGACCATAAACAGGGTATTGTATTTGTCTCATCTGACTCGTTAAACAAATATGCTAATACAACACTAAGAGACAAGTTACATGCACAAATCTGAATAGTAAGTGTTTCTTTTATTTATTTTTTACCATCAACCAAAGCAAAATTATTTATTGTTTCACTGAATGTTTCAAGTGCAATACATTTGAAATTGTGGTGCATCTGCCTGTGCAATACTGTACATGTAATTTTTGTTGTTGGACAAAGTGGTTTACACTGTAGTTTCAATAAATTATAAATATTTTTTCTGTTTCATTGTTGCCAATATATTTTATTACATTGTTGGTCAGTATGTGAAACACACAGTTTGCCATTAAACAAACTGTTGCACAGAAAGTTTTGCTGTGTTTTCCTTATCATGTAATTTTTAAACTAACCTTAAGTAATTAATCTACATTGCCTTTATCAATCATTTGAGTTCACTGCAAATTTGCACTCTCTCTTTTGAATACGTGACGCAGTAATGCCAGAGCATTTTATAAATACATTTATTTTCATCAAAGATTTCTTATATTATACATTCAAAGACCATTCAAAGACCTTAATTTCATACAAATGTACACCTATCCATGTCATAAATTACATAAATAAACAATAAAGATGTGTTTAAATAAATAAATACAATTTGGATCCGGTTTGTTATGCTGGCAATGCCAGCCCCTGAACTCCAACAATAAGAAAAGAACATCCAGCTCTTTACCCTGGTAAACGATCAAGTAATAATAACATCAAAACAACGTTGTTGTTGCAATCAAGATTAAATTACTATTATATTTTATGGGGAAAAAAAAGACTGCTGTATAGGTCAAGTAAAAATCTCCCTGACATACACTGTACAGTATGGACTACAGCATCACTTGGCCTATCTGTAATTCGCTCTAGATGTTCACATTAATAAACACGTTCTTCAATTGTCTTCCAGAGGTAGGCTATAGTGTTTTTATTGAGCCTGTTATTAAAACAGGCTTTGCAGACGTAATAAACTTATTGCAAAGGCCCTCCTGAATTTGCTCAGACGGAATGTAAAGTTGGAAAAAATTTATCATTATTGTCCTGCTGCTTACCCAAAGAGTCAAAACTTATCTAAGGCAATGGTCAGTCAGCCCATGCTGCCCGCGCTCCTGGGACTGCCCGGGTTTACCGCGTGCACGTTCCAGGGGTCGTGAACGTTGGGAATCAACGGTGTCTCACGAGACACGTTACGGCCATCGTCCCCGGCCTCCGTCTCGCCCTCCAGCTCAAGCTCACCATCGTCCAGCTCCGGTACTGCGCGCGAGTCAGCCCCATCCTCCGTGCGCACCACGTAAACGTTGTGCGGGTCTGAGGGATCCACCAATTGGTTTCTCTTCTCCCGGTGCAGCATCAGACGCTCTAGCGGCACAGTATTCTTTCTGGCCAAAAACAGCGAGGTCTGGGGCAGGTTCTGTCCGGCGGCAAACACCTGTCTAGACCCCTCCAGGTTGAACAAAATGCCCGTCCGGCTCGAGTAGTACACATCTCGATTGTTTTCCAGGAGCCTGTGATTGAAGAGACAGTCGTCCCGCAGACAAATGGGCTGAGGACGCACAGAAAAACGATCACCATCAACTTTAACTTTATAATCTTTTAAACTGATTTTAAGCCAACGTGAGCTAAGGTCTTAAATAGCCAAGTCGCACAATTGAGAATATGAGTTAATCTAAAAACAAGTTAACACAATAACATAATAGTCGTATTTATTTAGAAGAATGATTATGTGACTTACAGAGCTGAAAGGAGTGCCCTCTGCGTCCAAACAAAGATAGCGACTGCTTTTGATGCCGAGGATGGCAACTCTTTCTCTTGTTTCACTTTTAAGTAAAATCACACCTAAGGGGAAAAATGCAAATTAATCACAACTCTTTTTTATTAATTTAATTCTTAAAACTATAGGCTACTGTATGTCTAAACGAAAGTGGAAAACTCACTGTATGCGCCTCTGACTGTGCTTTTACGCACAGATCCGTCCTCCCGAATTTCTAAGTAGAAGTTGTTAAGGTCCGTGGATGTTTGCAGGTGGATGTATCTCCTTGGGTTTCCCCAGTTGGATCCCACTAAAGGAGATGGGTTCGCGGCTGATTCACCGAAAGGAATCACCCGCAGAAAAGCCAGGAGAAGCGCCAACACAGAGTCCGACAGCACGAGCCGCTTGTAGACGTCCATTTCAAAGCAGACAGTTGTTTTCCTGTAACCTGCTTAAGTGTATGTGTGGAGGATGCTCTGCTGTTCTGGCGTTTGAGCCCATTCCTATTTAAGGTCCCAAAGTGCCACCCCTGCATCCCTCATGTAAAAAAAGAAACTCGCCCCCAAAGCAGATGTGCGGCTACGCGGCGACGGAAGGGCCACTTCCACCTCTGTCTGTTTGTCCCCAAAATCCTGTCACACAACGGCACTTTTATTTTAGATGACGACTCCTCCACCTTTTCTGCCAATTGACTCTTAAAACGAAAACGCCTCGACAACGTGGGCCGGAAACATAGCAGACTGTAAAACAAACCCATTCTATACTTCTCTTAAATTAGGCATCTCATCGTGCCAAAAATGAATGCATGACATTTACATATAAACCTTATGGTAGGACAAGCTTCGTGCGCTTTTACGCACCTGTCCATCACTACACTTCCCAGTAGTCACCAGCAGAGGGAGTTCCTGCGCCTCTTAAGTTTGTTAGCCTTAAATCAAATTTGAATACTCAAGCCGAAGTGACTGTCACAGTTTATTATTGCATTAATCTTAGACGTCACACTAGCAACCAATATAAAACAAACTTTATTGATATCTGATGAATACAGTATACTGTTGTGCACAGCACATACGTACAAAAATAAATGAAAAATTAAATTCATAATCTGTACTGTCTCATTTCAGAAACAAAAATAAGTGCTTGTACCTATTTTACAATCATAATTTAGCCAAAACTAAGGCAAAGTAGAGGTATATGAAAACAGATGAGAGGAATAGTGTATATCTTCACCCCTTTAGAAAAGAGCACAACCAAAATTATTAAAAAAAATATATATAAAGACAAGTTTTGTTTAGGACCAAGGCATGTGCACAGTCCATTAACATTTAAAAATTAACACCAATTTATATATGAATCAATTGGCGACAGAAGAGGGGAAAACAGATAAGGAGGGAAAATATTTTTGGTCTAAGCTAAAATGCTAAACATTTAGAATTCTGTCCTTATCTTGACCAAAGTCCAGGTCATAATAAATAATTTGATCTGAATAATGATCTGTAAGGTGCTGCAAATAAAAGGTGACATCTTGTTTTAAAGACTTTTTTTTCTGATTTTAGCTAGAATTAATTATTTCCAGTTCCTTAACAAAAAACAAATAACTTTATCTACACAATATACAGTAATAACTATGCAGAAGGAAGATTCTGCTATGATTCTGCTTTGATTCTGCTCTATTCTGCTCTCTGTCTTTTTTTTTCCAAAATAGCAATTGTCACGTCTTATGCACGTAGAATACAAAGTAAGATCATTGAAAAGGCTGCTTAATAAATACTGAAGATGGCTGTGATTTTTTAAATTTTATTTTATCAAAAGAACTGGAGTTTCACTGGAGGCTGAAGATAGTTTTCTATATGTCTGTGGGGTGAAACAATACTAGCAAAAGAGCTGATCAACCTGGACAGTTTGAGCAAAGGCTCCACTATTTGACCTTGAACTAAAACAGATGAAAGGAGAGAAGGAACTTGGATTCTCCACATCCTGCTGCAGTCGAGGGCTAAAGAGCTAAAGGGGTAAAGGGTAAAGGACAGCCAAAGGAAACTCGGAGGGGTCGGCTCAGGTATCATCACAATTAATGGACAGCCCTGAAAACAGGGGGCATCCTCATGTATCTTAACTTAACTGTGCGTCAAAAGTCACACTTCCTACAAAACAATCAAACACAGTAATGTTTACTGCAGGTTTTCAAGGAGACTGCACCTAATACAAGCTGTATGATGATGATTGTTTATATTGTAGAATGCAATATAAAATTGGTCTATTCTAGAACCTCTCCAAGTAGGATTTTCATATTATACTGTGGTGGGCAACCAACATTCCCATATTTCTGTCCTGCACTGTCCCTTAGTCCTTGGCTCATCCATAATTGCATTTCTAAGTCTGAGGCAACAGCTCTGACACCTCACTGCAGTGCTGCTGCAGAGCCCAAAACCAAATCAGTCAAAGCAATGACCATATCCATCAACACCAACTTAAAGATAATATGAAGAAACAGCAACATTTATCTTGCCAATAATATTATACATCTTCTATAATATTAGGCATTTTCACTTTGCACCATAAACCTGTCATACTTTAGTTAGACAAACTACAACAAAACAGAACTCAATTCATATTTTAACCTCTCACAGAAACTTTAACTGAAAACAGTATATGTATTTTAGCTGCTACTTGCATACAGTAGAACTCAAATCTTAAACGCCAAGTCTGTACTAGTGGTCTATGTGCGCTCAGTGCAGTGGCAAGTGCCGTTCAAAGAAATGAAAAGATTTGTCCATGCTCCACCCTGTTTATTTGCTGGTAGTGCTCACAGAAAACTCTGGCCTCATATTTATGGTTGACTGGTCTCTGGTCTCAACTACAGATTGTACATTACTTAATTGATCTAATTTCAGAAAAGAAAATAAACCAGAGATAGCCATCCCTCACTTGAGGCCCTCAGATCGTCAGCCCTATTTCTGACTCCAGTGGGTGTCTCTTACATGCAAGTTTAAGGGGGCCACCAGAGGAAATACCAAGGCACCTTTGAATCGTGCAGCAAAGGTAGTGCATTTTAGTGGCTTATTGGCCTACAGCTATTAAGAGAGAAAAGGACTATAAGCGCTTAGAGCTCTCAAAATCTAAACTTTGCTGATAGTTTACTGCATGCATCGCTTAATTTTGTAAAAGAAAGTCTCTGAGGTAAAGAAATAATTTGTGTCACTCTTTTAGACCAAGAAAATATTTACTCTCCAAAGAAGTGACTAAATGTAAAATTATTGCAAGCACCAAGATACAGTGAGACAGGCAAAGGCTTTAACCCCCAGTCTCTAAGGATCAAAGTATAAGCAGCACAGTATGGCATGTTAATTTATAACCAAATATACATATATTTATGAACAGAATAAATATTTCCCCTTAGTTCATTGGCGTGTACAGTTAACTGTGTTACCTGGATGTATATCCAAATGTGCAAAAGTGAGTTATTGCCAGTTTCAGTCAAAGTCTTGGGAGGAAATGTGTGACCGTCATGGCGGTGGTAGCCTTGTTGCCCCTCTTCACACGACCATGTTTGCTGAGAGCGATGTAGAAGCCCTTGTAAACAAAAGACTCATAGGCGTTGTAATTGTTGGGAAGCAAAGTCTCCCTAAACTTGCACTCATCCCCAAAGGATTTCTAAAATGTAAAAAAAAAAAAAAAAAAAAAAAAAAAAAAAAAAAAAAGAATAAGTACATACATACACCACAACATAGTTTCACACACATAGTAATACTGTGACCACTTGCAAGTTAAGACAAAGTTTGTTGAAAAGTTGAAAAGATTTATGCTTTACTAAGAATTAGTCAGTAGAGACTAAATTCTAACTGGGATTCAAAAACGATTATGCATGAAGGTCATGTGATCAGCTGTAGCCAAATAGCTACAGGAAATACATGGCAATTCAAGGATGTTAGATGTCATCAAAAGAATGGGCTTAATGATAAATAATGGTAATGGCAGCTTTGCTAGTTTTGCATATCCAGCTGCACAACTTTATAATTGCGCATTTGTTCTGGTGAGACTGCGGTGCGTACCTTTCCATACAACCTTCCCTTGTTGTTCATTGCGACAAACAGTTGACTCTTGACTCCGAAGAGGGTTATAACTCCTCTGTCCACAGTGGAGATTTCTATGAGACCTAGAGCAAACACAGGGAGGAGAGAGAGAGAGAGAGACGCTGTCATTGTGACTGTAGTTAGACAAAGTTACGTGATTGGTCAATGCAGTGTCGATGGGTGTAACCTTGCAGGTGCACTGCGACTGAGTGATGCTCGTTTTGTCCTTTGGGCTGTTCTCACACATTAAATCTGAACTACAAAGCGTCAGTGGAAGGCTCTGAGTGCTACAGCCGGACACGGGATAAAAATAAGCGACCGTCTAAACTGAGTCCAAGCATGCATGTTATGTTTTTTGGCTAGGGAGGATATTTCGCACTGCACGGATGCGAGGCTCCCAGTACACTGTTTTTGCTTTGGGGAACTTTCATCCGTGCCGACACGTCTTATTAAATATCACACAGGACAAGCGAGCCGCTGTAACTTTTACACAGCGCAGCCTGCGCATAAGGTTACAAGCTTTTTTGGTATACAGCGCTCTGCCGGATGCAACTCACTGTGTTGGTTCTCATTGTGTACACCACTTATCCTGCCATCCGGGAGCACCTGCAGGTGAAACCCAATGCCCGCGTTGCAGTAGAGTCGCCGTACTCTTTTGATGCCCTGCAAATAGTCACTCTCCCAATTGACTTCAGATTTTGACCCAGTTATTCCGAGATAAGAGCGTGAAAAAAGAGTCTCCCATTTCTTTTCCAATAAAGTTGCGTTAGTCCTACTTGAAATTGGATAAGAGGAGGCAATCCCGATGAAACAAGTCCACAGTACAAGAACTGCCGGCAGGGTCCAGTGCGTCTTGGACATACTGTTGAAGCACCTTTGCGCAATGGCCATCCAGTTTACCTTTAGGGCACGTTGTTAGCGCTAGTTGCCCTATCAAACCAACTCTTCTTATTAGTTGTCCATAGGCATGGTGGTAAAGGGTTGTGCAGAGGAGACAGATCAGGGGCCCATAGCCCGGGATCTGAAAAGCAGCAGAGGCACAGAGCGCGTCGCAGCTTGATTTGGTTCCGGTGGCGATGACCATCTTTCGCCGCTCCGCGCTATTTTACAGGCAAAGCTGGCCGAAGAGGGACCACGCTCACCTCAACGTAAAACCAGCTCACCTTGCTCCTCGACACTCACATCCCAAAATGACATCACAGTGACTTCAGCGCTACACCCCCATCAGAGGTATCCGATGGGAGGAGGAGAGTCCCAGGACCCCAGCACAGCAGAGGCACTTCTGACAGAAGTGATGGGGTTGACGCACCTTTCCTGTAAGCGTGCGTGCAGCAGACTGAAAGGAGGTTCCTGCCCCATCTTTCAGAATAAGAATATCATGACATCATGAACGCCATGTGCATACATTTGACTCCAATTTAAAAAGAAATATGGAACTGCTAATAGAGCAAGAGGTTGTGTTCATGACATTTTACGTATGATGTCACGATTTCAGATTGGGTCAATACACGTGACAACAATCACGTCAGCATGTTTGAATAATGTAACACTTAAAAGAGAAAAACATTTAGTTCATTTGGGCTAACAGAGAATGTAATTAACTTTATGGATATCTTGGTAATTACCAGGCTTATTAGCATAAAACAAACCCTGGAACAAAGCTCTGTGTTCTCTGTGTCAGCAAAAAGGAACTTCACCTATAAGAAACTTTAAGTGGCAGTGTCATTTTGAAGTATAAGCAAAATGATTATATGGTCATGATCACCAACAAACTTAGTGATATTGATTTGTAATAATAAGGTTTAGGATAATAAGGATTAGATCAATTTGCTTTGACAAACTGTTCATACTATATACCGTTAAAAGTAAAGTTGTCAATTAAAGATATTATTTGCAGTTTGAAGTTAGGGTTACTTTTAATTTGAAGGTAGTGAGACAGGAAAAGAAGAGCTATAGTAAATGTGTTTGACTTTTGCTGGCATTGAGCAATCAGAGGATGGATGGATACTGTGTCCAGATCCCAATTTGGGACATTGGTCATATGTCCTGGCAGCCTGTAGCCTTATTTAGGATGGAAGGTGTAAAAACTGTCATGGGAGAGCAAATGGCAGGGTGTCTGACAGTTCTTAGGAAATTGCAACATAAGTTATCTTGCCTGAATAAAGTGTGCATAGTTCAAAACTCTCTTCAAACTATTGGGGGCATAGTACTAGAGGATGCAAAAAAGTTGCAGCATTAAAGTTTCTCTGTTTATAACATTCATATATGCAGGCTCCACTTCATGATTTGTGAATGTTGATATTTTTGAAAGTATCAATTTTAGTGGGTAAAAATGTTTACTCACTCATGGTGCTGCCTGAGAGACATAGGCTCAGGAGAGATCTACACGTCACATCCCACTGCTGCTAGGGAATCCAGCTTAGCAACCGAGACCTACTGGAGATAAACAGAAATGAGGAGAAACAAAAAAAAACTTTTAAAATGAAGGAAGAAGAGAGGACATCAGAAATGATTATTGTGCACTCTGGGCTCACCGTCATTAAGGTTCATGGTCCCTGTATTCTGAAGCTGCTGATTTATTATAAAATCACGTTTTGTAATTGCTGATGTGCATGTGTTGGTTGATCTTCAGAAGACACTGAGAATCCTTCAATTCCCTCTGGGATGACTGGACTGAATGACTCTGAATGGCAAATTAATGAGACCCAGGATTTGCCATGTGCTTACGTGGCTAATCAGGAGTGTGGTGAAGCAGACCAAGCCAACCGATAGTCTGAATGGACAAAATACTGAAATATTGACAAAGTGGTGTCTAAATCAATGGAGACTTGGCATTGCTAATGAGATAGTGCTGAGCTGTGATGAATACTGCTACAACAATTATACTATTCGTATTAAACGTCTTTGAAATGTTATAGAAACAATATGCCGTCCTGATGACCTGATGCAAAAAATACTTAACCAACTAAACCAGTAAGAACAAGAGACCTTTATTACCACATAACAATTGCACATTTATAGTGATGGTCAGATATTAGGCCAGCATCTTTGTTACATTATAAGATCTAGTTACAACTTCTGAATAACATGGAGATTAGTCAGTGGTTATAATTATTTAATTATTGCAAATGAAATGCCTTATGGGATCAATAAAGTTTTCTGAATCTGAATCTGAATCTGAACATATTTACATAATGAAGCATTATACTATCTATATTTTATATGTAAATAAACATAGAGTCACACACAACAGACAGACTCAACAACACAAACAGATTTAGAGCAGATTATCTAAGTGCATGTAACCTAATACAGAAGAGTGTACGGCTTTTCAATTACAGTTTTATTAACATGGCATTCAAAAGATCATATAGAAAGAACAGCTGCTGACTCTAAGCTAAGAACAGAGCATTTACCACGAATGACATCAGAATCCCTGGCATACAACAGGAACGTCTAAGTTACTACAATATCAGACCATATAATACACAAATATAGACAGCACATTTGATATTTTCCTCAAGTTCACTGTTGCCCTTTGGCTGCTCAAATGTGTGATAGTCATATTTCACAGACGAATGCTTTAGTGACAAGCCTGTGCAAAGTTGACAAACTTTATGTCAGGGGAAGAGTGACCTTACTAATGTGACCATCGATTAAAAAAGAGCACAATCTCAGTCCGGGTTACTGGGGCTTATAAAGCACCACTCTGCAAAGTTCAGATTGTGCTGATTCACCAAATGCATTATTCAGCAGTTCAGACTACTCTGGGGTTGCCCATGTTCCCTGTTTCAAGTGAAACCGTGAATCATAGTGGCTATTGCACACTCTTGCAACAGTGCACTGAATGCATTTGTTTACTAGGCACCAAACTACACACCAAAAGAAAAAAAAACAAGGCAATAGCCTCAGTTAGTCTTTCAAGGGTACGGCTTGTGCACCTTGCACAGAAAGATGTTTCTGCTGCTAATTTGGGCGCAGAGTGACTAAGGGGAAAACCAGCAGGGCAAGGCAGAGGTGACTTTTACAGTGCTCTAACATAGCTCATTACACACAGGCTTAGTGTTCTTTGTTCCAACAAAGTAAACTAGCCAAGCATCAAAACAAAACCATAAGCAAAAAAAGACCATGAAATATACAGAATGGCAAAAGTCACAGCACCACAAAGAGTCATTGTAGTTTCTGCAGAAACTGCCACAGAGACTATGATGGCCAGGAAACTCTCAAATTAAAATATATCGTATAAAAATCTGTAACAAAGCCTTGAGGTTTTGTTGACCCTGCTGATTAACAGTGGACCTCTGCAGTGGTGACTTATTAAGACAGTCACAGCTCAAAAAGTGTCTATTAAAACTGAAGATGGCCTCCTTTTTAGCTATGCTGCCTCAAGAGCTCGGAGTAGAGATGCTGCTCCTCCAAAGATAGCCATCTGTGGAAAAAATGTGCATGTGACTGAAGCTTCAATAAGTGTGAAGAATCAGAATGTGCAAAAGAGACATGAAAACAAGAGAAAACAGGTAGCAGCTTTATCTTTGCATGGAATAAGAATTTGGGGAGTCCACTTCCTGAACTGCCACCTTAAGGTTGTAGAGGGGTTTAAGTACTGGATGGTCCTCAGAGCTATGTTGCCTCAGCATTATTAACCTGGTACGGCATCTCATGGCAAATAGGTCATAGTGATGAGATAGATCAAGTGCAGTTAATCCCTTAAGAAGAAAAAACATCACCCAGAATGGTGTTACTAGGCCTCACCCTGCATCTAGGCTCCGGATGAGTGGCCATGTCTTCTCACACAGAACCAAGCCATGTCCAACCTGAAATGGCAACCACCCACACCCAGCTTACTGGGCACTCCATTAGGGTGAGGAGCTCAGTCCCATGGGAGAAGCTTGGAGTAGAGTAATTTCTCCTACACATCAAAAGCATGTTTCCCTATAGAGATGTTCTGGACATATCCCATTGGGAGGATTTCCTTAGGGAGACAGGATATGCAGGAGGGACAATATCTTTCGGTTTGTCTGGTAATACTGTGATGGAGCTGGTGGAAGTGCATGTGAAAAGGGATGTCTGGGCATTCTTGCATAGACTGCTGCCAATGCATTTATGGATGGAGTGTAAAGTCTACTATCTTACTAGTCTACTATAAGCTAACATACATGAACATTCACACAGACAGTGGCTATATAAAACTGATGCATCCTTATTATTATTATCGTGTGCTGACAGTCATGATTCATATTCAATTCCTGATTCAATACCATGTCATGACTCACAATCACAATCCCATCAACACATCCAACAGCCAACCCATTCACTATTGATTAATATGCATATCATATACCAATACATGTATTTTAAACAAACTACAATATTTTACAAAAAGGGGTACATTAAACTGTGTCACTGGAAGAAATAATATGTATATGCCAATATACTGATTGAGCTGTCTGTCATACAAATACAGTATCACAATATATAAAATACAAATATTCTGACACGTACATATAAGCACATATCCACAGAAAAAATGCAACATAATATTTATATTATATGAGTTCCAACATAATATTTATGTTATATGAGTTGCTGATAGGGTGAGGAGCTTGCTCCCCACCCACTGCAGGGTGGCTGGGTGCTCCCTTAGAGATAGGGAGGACAGGAGGACCTCGGAGTAGAGCTGCTGCTCCTCCACATTGAGAGGAGCCAGTTGAGGTGGCTCGGGCATCTCTTCCAGATGGATGGATGGATGGAGTTGCTGTGAAAAAAGTCCCTCCTCATAACAGTTTCAACAGAAGCCCTTCGAGACTGATGCTACAATACTTATGCTGTTGACTATTGCCTTAGAGATTGCCATTGGTTTTCTTAAAACTTGTCCACTGAACTACTCCCCTTTCACATAAATAGCCCATGAGTGTTTCTTCTTCACAAAAAGCAATAATCAAAGGCATACTTAAGTATAACACTTAAGTATAGATTCTCTCAAAAACACAATATGCAATCATATGTTGATGCCAGCTCTGTTGCTTGGTTTATGTTATGCCATTAAGGTTCTGTTTACATGACCTATGCTAAAAAGCTATATGATTTGGTATGGTCAGGGCAAAGATAAGATCAGAAGGGTGTCAGCTGCTCCCTCCCAGGAACCCAACACCAACTCAGGCCACCAGCACTGAGACTGAGAATGTGGAGAATTCTCTCAACACATTCACTCAATGCTTTGCACGTTTTCACCCCTCTGGGATGAGAGCCTTGCCGCATGTGCAGAGGATGCAACCACCTTGCTTTACAGTGAGCGAGCCTGAGACTGTACAAGAGGCGGCAACGAGTGCAGGATCAAGGCAATTTGGCTGACAGGGGAAGAAGAGCGCCAGGAATGGCATACTGCTGAGTGAGTGAGTCATCCTGGACTGGACCACTGTCATTTTGCCAATACAACAAAAAATCTAATCATTTATTTTTGTCATAGTCTTCAAGCAAAAAAACAATATGCCAAAGGTACTCTTTAATGGTGTGTGGTATTTCCTCTTTTGGGCAGATCCATAATTCATTCAGCAATTGTGTTCCAAAGGAGTTAAAAGGCTCACTAGTCTTTCCTCTTTTAATATACCTAAAGCACCAGAGTTTCTGTCATTCAAGTGTAATACTCCATCTGAGCCAAAGAGTTAACATTCCAGGTTATCCACATGGGCAGACTGTCTTTTTTATTCAAGAAATTAATTTTAACTGTTGTTTATAATCTAGTTAAATATATATTTAAAATAACTAATAATTGTAAAACACATTAAAGAAAATGTATTGGAAAAATAAACACCTATGGCATACACCAAACACTCCCACCTGCAGTCAAGTTTGATCAAAGCATATAGAGTTAGCATATACTTGAGTCACCTGGTCATTTTATTACCTGACACTTGAGCCAAGCATTTACCACTACCAGGAGGACAAAAATTATTGGAATACAATATGACAATTATACCATAGGAATTTATACAGTATAAAAGTTTTCATCATACTGTATAATGGCAAGTCAATTTCATGTGTTGTTAATGCCCTCTGGTGTTGAGGCACTGAATCTATATCAGAGACATAATCACTGCATTGAGCTTATCACTGTTCTTTTTTCTGGATTTGACTATTTTCAAAGTATCTAAATAAGGGCTTTAAAATATATATATATATATATATATATATATATATATATATATATATATATATATATATATATATATATATATATATATATATATATATATAATATATATATATCATATATATATATATATCATCATATTCAATCATATTCATAGATTCTCAAATAAAATTACAAAAATATTTTTTAAATACATAGTTCATTTTGCTTAATATGTACCTAGCACAACCAATAATATACAACACACAAGTTAGTGCAACTACCTATATCAAATAAACCATACATCTCTTTTGTGTAGGATAGTTGAAATCAACACTGGTGTACAAACACATTTGTCCTGTAGGTGGCCACGTGTTTGAACAGAGCCTTCAAGTGTTAGTGTGGCACTGGGGAGCCGTGTGCTTTGGAAAATGAGAACCTGATACTGCAGTCCATAAGCCATGAGGCAGCAGCAAGTGCAGTGCCCCAGGCATTACAGGGCACTAAGGTCTTATGTGCTTGTGTGTGACCTCGCAGTTACAAGTTCAGCCCTAACAACACTGCTCCCTCAGTGCCCTTCAATTGCCATTTTGGAGGAAATATTGTTCATATTTTTTAATTAACATTTTTAAAAAGTCTAAGTGAGGGGATACATTTACAAAGTGGGATATTCCTGTAAATGTATTTCCTTTAATTAATTCCCTCCCCTCATTCCATCAGTTGGCATATCAGTGTCCACATAGCCCCAACCCCCAGCTAGAAGTTCTAAATAAAAGTTAATAAAATAATTAAACTGAAAAGTGCAACAGAGAAAGATAAAGTAATAATAATGGTAACTGGGACATCAGTAATAAAAAAATAAAAATAAAAATAAAATAAATAAAGAGAGGCAATCACTGAAATGAAGATGAAATTGTGGTTTCCTCCATCAACCCAAAACATGTACAATAGGTAAAGACCTCCAGCCATGACCAAGTTAAGATCAAGATCTGGGTCCCCGGGTGCAGCATTGTGGTGCTCACCACAGTTACTATTTACCTCTGAGGCACTGGCTCAAATGCAAAGGACAAATGTCCCTATGCAGAAAATAAAGGCTAACCTTAATCTTACAACTGCATACAAAAAATGGATGGAATTTCCTTGCTTCAGAAATCTCAGCCTTATCAAGAGATTAATCATTCTTCCACTAAAACATTATTTTATATAATATTTTGAATAATAATAATAATCTTAATCTTAATAAACCCATAATTACTTTGTAATTATTGCTTCACATGGAATATATGTGCCAGTCCAACTGCAATTATAGCTGTTATGTGTGCCATCCTAAAAAAAAAAGAATGTTGCTTAAGCGTGCAGTGTAGAAGACAAGCTTTTAGAAAAACAAACTCCGGAAGCCGCTGGTTGACAGATCTGTCTGCCCATTTGGGTTTGCTGGCTGAAAGTGTGGCTGCTGTGGTCGTGCTGTGGTAGCCACCAGTTCATGCCCAAAGACATTTAACGAAGGGCCATTTCTAGGTTACAACAACACACCAGCACAAATGCAAGACCGGATATCCGAAACACTTAAAGGTTCATCAAGTCATATTTAGTTTGAGGTTTGTTAAATGTGCCTCTAAGATTTCAGTGACAGAGCAGTTTATCTTCATTAAAAACTACAAATATATTCTGCCCAGCACCAGAAAAAATAAAAATAAAAAAGGTACCCCTAGGCTTATTAAATGAACAACACAGCAAGAAAGGGGGGAAAAAGGTACATTCAGCGAGATGGATTCAATCTAATGAATGGAGGATGAGTTACCCTGTATGGGCTCAGATGACTTGATATATTTCTAATATTAGTACATCATAAATCATATTTGTACCACAATAAATATGGTAAACATATCTAAAAATATAAGGCCGTTGTTTTTAAATAAAAAAAAAAAAAAAATGTCCTTGGTAAATAATAACATAGCAGACCCCGCCTGCGGAACAGCCATACAAGGAAGACTGCCCTAGACCAAGCGCCCCACACAAACTACTACTGTGAGAAGCTATAACGCACATAATGATGGTATTCACATCAGTGGTTAAAGGGAAACTGCCTCCTGACCACTTACAAATAAACTCAAATTAGGACCAAGATGATGTGACAACTGTAGAGTAGATGTAGAAATGAAGAAAAGCAGATCTAAATCAGATTTTGTTCTGTCAAAATATAATTTTATTTTTATTTGCTGAAAGCTAGAAATGAAAACAATTTTTAAATGTTTTGAGCAAACAAATATGGTGATCATTATAAAAGTGAAGCTATGCATATATCCCACACAATAGCAGTCCATAACAACACAACCACTCCTGCTTTTAAAGCTCTGTGTTGTCTGGAACAAAAATGTAAACATCTATATGTGTGAGTCTAAACGTAATGTTTTGACCATAATGTTTGCATGAGTGTATTTGATATTTTGGTCATGCCTGTAGGCAGAGCTGTAGGAGTGGAGGAATGTGTGACCACAGGGCCCTTCCTTGTCTGGAGTCAAAGAGATGGACCATCACATCCTTGAACGTCTCTACCAGGTCCTCTGTGTGACAAACCGCAACAGACAGCAGCCCACTCACAAACTAGAAAATGACAACCCTTGGATTGGAGATTGCTCTCTAACATGTGTTGTAAAAAAGAGAATTTGTTCTTTTATTGCACTTCAGAGGGCCAGTGATTGCTAACTCCTTCAGTGTGGGCGAATGGGCGGATAAGGACATGTCAGCCTCATCATGTCTATCACGACATGTCACTCATCTATGGCTGCACTGAGGGACTGTACCTAGGCCTTTCACGTTAAAAATTGTACAATAATTTTAAAGCATGACATATCGCTACAGAAAAAAAAATATTGCAATAAAGAATTTTAAAAACAACACTGAAACTACATTAAAGCATTGACAATAAATGGCAGTAGCTAACAATAAAGCAGGATAATTTCTTTCTTTTTTTTTTTAATCATTCAAAGGTATGCAGCTAAAACTAGTAAAATAAAGCAATAATTAGCTATAGAAGTTACTTTTTCAACCCTCTACAGGCCAAATCTCATTGTATATATAAGAATAAAATAAAGCTTCTATTGCAATGAAATTGTACACATGATAGTTATTAAAATGATTGTTACAACTATAATTCGTTGAACGATAAATCGATATAGTGACAGTATCAACTGTACCTTGAGATGCAACAGTTTGAAGTCATTATCAAGAGTCGCACTGCCATCTAGTGGACAACAGACAGACTGCTCAACTCCAGCTGGGGTTTCCACCATGGAAAAGAGAAAAATCTAAATTATTTTTCAACAGTGTAAAACATAATTAGGCTAGTATCCACACAGTTGAAGAGGTTAAGACACAGCTTAATGATGTTTGTAAAGCAATTTGTACGTTTATAATGTGTCTGTGGTAGCCCACTTATACATTATAACATGTTCAAGAAATCTCAACTCCACATCTTATAGTTGAACAGAAAGGCAAGTAGGATAGCATATTTTTGGAGCTTGACTTTTGTTTACGTTTTGACGCTGTCACGTGTCTGGCAAATCTTTTAGGAGAGTCTGAAAAGTAGACAGTCCGTATGTTATCAATTTACCTTTGCTGCCTGATTTCATATTAGAATTTTCTTTCACAAACGTAGGTCTTTTTTTTTTATTTATTTTTTTTAATAATGGAAAGAAGAGCGAATACACGAAGGGGGGCAGGGCCACGGCAGCAGCCCTTTCGTCACTTCCGGCTCAATTGTTCAGGCGGGATACTCGAAAAATAGAACAACGTCGTTTTCGTGCTGATTAATTTAACGCTGAAAAGTCGAAGTTGCACGATTTTAAGGGTACGCAGACACGACAGCATAGAATAACGTTTTGTTCAACGGTTTCACTACATCGATAGTCACTTTATGGACAGGTGACTTAACAGCTACAAGGAGCAGCGATAGACTGTTGTTTATTGGAAAGCATGGACAGACCGTCAAGGTATTTCGCACGTTTCACCTGCACCTTCTTTAGCTTCTTTATGTGTCTATAGCCTAATGTTGCTAAGTTGTTGTTTTTTTCTGATACAGAAAGACAAAAAGTGTGAATTACTGTGAGAACAAGGACTTTGAAGATGATGGTGAGTCAAACAGGAACATCTAACATTGCCATATTTGTCTCTGGACATGGAAGTGCTGAATGACAGTGTCCTTATTTCTAAAGTTTAGACTGAAGCTTCTCCTCAGTTATTAGTGTTACCTTGTATCATGATATGGTGCTCAGCTACTGTACCACACTTTGTTGTTGTCATTTTGAACCTATTGGACCCCTTTTCTGTGGTGGACTCAAACCAGATTGCACACCACAATGATTTGTTTTATAATTTTGTTACAGATGAGGATTTTGCTAAAAACCCACCTAGTAAAAAGGCTAAAGAAATGGTGAAATCAGTCAAACAACAGAAATGCATTTCTAGCCAAGAGTCCAACTCAGCAGCTCTAACAAGTCAAAAGAGCAGGTATGTTATTCTTTTAGGTTAAAAAAAGTGTCAAAATAAATATAAATGTGAGTAAAATGCATGTATCACCAATAATCAAAAATATAAAATAAATGTATAATTTTCAGAAAACCTGTACATGCGAAAATCTTTGAAAGAGATCTAGAGGCAGCCATTTCGCTTTCTTTACTAAATCCGTCATGTGAAACATCAACCCCATCATCAGTCTTACAAGGTAAACTACAGTTTAGCAAAGAAAATCCCATAATTCTTGTGAGTCAGCCTTATTTTACCTTATTTTGTTTTCAAAAGATTCGTTTGTCCGGACTCCAGATGAGAACACAGAACCATCATGTTTGTCACCACATCTATCCAACTGTAGTGTAGACACCATGCGTTTAGGTACATTTCTCACTGTTTCCTGATGTTCTTTCTACTAAGTTACAATTTAATGCAAATGTTTATTTTTACAGGTCTGGACCAAATAACACCAGACTCAAATGCACCTTCAAAAGAAATGAAAGAAGCTTCTGACTTCAACAGAAACACACAGAAAACACAAGATGATGATTATCAGCCCTGTGTGGCTTCAGGTTGCCTTTGTTTGAAACCTTGGCAATTCAAATTGTGTTGACAAACAAATGTTTAATTGTATCTTTTTATAGACTCAGAAAGTGATAATGATTACAGTGAACATGACAGTGAAGATGAGGAATTTACTGCCAAAAAGGCAAGCAAGACTAAAAAGGGGAAAACAACCAAAAATGGAACAGTCAAACAACCACTGTCTACTAAAAAAGACAAGCAGCCACAAAAGTCTAAATCTACAGGTTTGTATAATTTTTATTTATCAGAGATTTATATTTACCTGCTGTTCAAACACACAGTGTCATCTACTTTTACCCACCCCTCCTTCTATTACTCAGCCTACCTTCCGTTAAACATAAAAGCTTTCAGAAAAAGTCCAATAGGCCACACATAAGTTGATAAATTATCTTTTTGAACATCTTCACCTCAGTCTAAGCCTCTAAGTAATTATTTCTGACTTAAATACCCATCCATAATATAGTCACTTATGTTCAAACCATCTCAAATTGCCACTCAGCTCTAACTTCAGTTTTGTTCTAAGGGTCAATTTCTGATGCATTTTTCTTTCACATTTTCCTCTCACCCAACATTTTGTTTTCTTTACTCTCTTTAAGCTACATATACCCCAACAAGGACTCCCCTGGCCAACAAAAACTCATCCGACCTCTCAAGATCGACCTCCTCTTCAAAGGCATCCAAATCTGCTACATGCCTGAGTCCAGCCACAAGAAGTATACCAAAGTGGAACCCGCCAGGTTTGACGCAACTTGTTGAAATTAATTGGTGTCATCACATATTTGTCACTTATTTTTCTTTATCTTTGTTGTCTTTCCACATTTCTTCCAGGCCAAATCGGTAAAAGTCCTTCATCAAGCAGTCCTTCTGTGAGATCTCCAGGTCAGGGTCTACGCCTGGGACTGTCCCGTCTGGTTCGAGTTAAGCCACTTCATCCCAGTGTTGCTAGTCATTGATTATTTTCCCTTTACATATCTTCTGTTTTTCCATAAAGACTGTGCACATATCCTCAGTAGACACAGTATACAATATACTTTATTGTTTTTTAACTATTTCCAGTGAGGATTACTGGTTTTTGTGCAGTAAAACCTGCTTGAGACTGCAGAATGTTGGGTGAAAGGATCGGCTCTGGTTTTAAATTTCTTTAAAGTCGTTAGTGAAATAGAAAATATTTGCGATTGTTTTTATAACACTGTAACTGCATATATATATATATATATATATATATATATATATATATATATATATATATAAAACAGGTGAATAAATGTTACAAATTACATGACTGATGCTTCTATTTTGAGTATGTCCAAAACAATTAAATATGTTTTTTTTTTTTTACACTTTTTTTTTTTTTTTTTTTGACGAAATTCCTTAGGACATGAGTTTTCTAAAATGTGTGTGCGTAGATATTTATGAAACTTTGCCTATGCCTTTTGAAGACAGCTGTTTTGCCTGCACCATAAACATCTATTCAAAGCTTCAACTGCTCTCAGAAAAGTGGGAAAAATATGTGTGGCACAGAAAGAAATTAAAGGTTAAGTTAAAATTTCCACTGTGATTGAAGGTTTTGCTAACTCAGGAGCCCTCAAATATGAAAACACAAGTCTGTCCCATTCACTGACAATAGCATTAAAAACATTATCTCTAAAATACACAGCATGATACAATTATAAAATCATTGGCTTCAATCATATTGACTGAAGATCATCAGACCTGATAAAACAAAAGAGAAATTAACAAACATGGGTTCAAAGGCACTATAAAAAAAATTATCTTGACAACAGTGTCTTTGTCAAGAACTTCCAGAGCATGTTTAAAAATAACTTCATAATATAGCCTAATTCAGTCATTCCCCTAGTTTGCAGAGCCGTGGCCCCCCATTTATACAAGGAGTGTACCGGGCCCCCCCTCATAATAATGTCTACTCAAAACAATATTTAATGTTTTCCTCACAAATGTACATGTTAACAGTACATATCATAATGTCTATGGGCTTCTATATTTAGAAGATGGACCTCAATTTTCTGCACCAAATCATACTTAGCATGGTTTATCAATCATTATGTCCACTGGTGATTTCCACCACACCTGCTACCTGAGTCGCTAGAGGGAGAAGTTGCTATGTGAAAGGCAAACAAATTAGGAGGAGAAGGAGTAAGCACCTGTTTAAGGTGGGGACTTAATTACCCAACCCATTTCTCAAGAGAAAACTAAGAGAACACCTGACGTACACAGAAAAACCATCATGAAATCTGGACAGCTCAAAGCATTATTTCTCTGTTTTGTTGTTGTTTCTAGTCTCTTTTGCTTTGGATCTATCAAACTGGGGGTTTATAAACAGGTGACGAAGCTTCCAAAGGCACATCAAAATGACTCTGTGAGAGGACAAGGAATGCTGAAGAGAATGGACAAAATCGAAGCAGACATCGATAAACTATGTAAGTAAACAGTCATTTCAGCAACAAAACATAACCCAGTAAGCAATCTATTTTCTAAACAGCAAACCTGAATAAACTTGAAAAAAGATGTCCTCAGTCAGAGAAGAAAAAGGAGAAGTCATTGGTAAAGAAACTATACCCAAATTCTGCCCTGTTCAAGAAGTGGGGAGAGGAGTTGTCAGAAGAGGAGCAGGTGGAGGCAGAGAGACTGTTTCAGAAATATGGCTACAATGCTTTCCTCAGTGACCGACTGCCACTGAACCGAAAACTCCCTGACACCAGACCAGCCAGGTGAGTGATTTCAGGCGCAAATAGCGTTTCTGACTTAATGTTACTGCATAATACATGTCTTTTACAGATGTGCACAAAAGAAGTACTCAGATGATTTACCCACCATTAGTGTTGTGATCATCTACCTAAACGAAGCATTTTCAGTCATCAAGAGGGCAATTCACAGCATTATTGAAAAGACTCCATCTCGGCTGCTCAAAGAAATTATTTTGGTAGATGATCATAGTGAAGACGGTAAGACAGCATATATTTTTTCAATGTTGTTTTTCCGAGTAAAAGTGTCAACTGCACAGACTTTTGTGTACAGGTAAACAATTTGCATAATTTATATAGTTATATGTCTGTTTTGTTTTTGCAGAGGGCTTGAAAATAAAACTGAATGATTACATTGACTCAGTAAATTATGCAAATCCAGGCTTGATAAAGATGGTTCACCACTCAGAGCAACTGGGCCTTACCCAGGCCAGGCTTTCGGGGTGGAAAGTGTCAAAGGGGGATGTGGTGGCCATCCTAGATGCTCACATTGAGGTTGCCGTTCAATGGTATGGTCTATTTATTGTGTTTGCCTTATAGGCCCTATTTGTTTCTATCTTAACTCAAAAGTCTGTCTTT